GTTTTACCGAACCAACTTACTTGTGTAGCTTATGCAATTCCACAATCCGTTGAAGCATTTTGGGGGTTTGCAGGGCTTGGGGAGCGAAAGGCATGTTGGATATGTATTCGATCCCGGTATGATTGACGGGATCGTAATCACCCGCATCTGACTGGACGGCATACGCACCAAGCATGACATAAGTTTGGAACGAACACGGGAGTCTATATTCGTTTGGTGTAGGGAAGAAGATTTAGGTGAGAGATAATACAAGAGAAAAAGATAAGTGGAAGTTTTTGAAGCGTCGAAAAGAAGATTATCCAAGATGCGTAATAATTTATTGTGCTCATCGCACTCATACATGATTTCACGATCACCGCTATCAATGAAACGTCCAGGTGATTATGTATCCATGATGAATGAAACAAACAAACCGCGTTGTTGCATATTTGATCGTAACTACAGTTGGGCGTAAATCAAAGTGTCACATGAAGCAGTAGCGACCCTGAATTAACGAGATTCCATAAGCGTTATACCATGTGACTTGGTTACGCGTTTGGCCAGTCCTAATGGTTCTTATCGAAAGAACTCGTCCAGAAAATTAGCACACAGGTTGAAACAATTGAGCTTTTATGGTGCAAATGAGGAGGAAACACAACAGTAAAATAAACAACATATACGATAAAAAAACGATTATTTTGTCCATCGTCCCGTGGATCCCGGTTGATGCTACGTTTACTTGTCAATTCATTTGCATGCACGCAGATCGGTATGCTGAGATGTCTCTGTAATAAGGATTGAAAACCAATGAGAAATCACTGGATCATTAGTTGTGACCTTATAGATCCGCCGATAAAATTATCCTCTAACGGGATGTAGCAACGTCTACTCGTGGGTTCGAATCTCACTGAAGCACTTGACCTTTTCACAGCTGAATTGAATAAAATGATTGTTTACTTTGCTCCAACCAAGAACAAGCTCTGTTTTACTCACAAATATACCTCATGCTCAGTATCATTACAATGGTGCTTTGATGGACCATTCATCCAATTTGCTTTGATAAGCTTATAAAATAGCGCATGCGAATCCAAAGGAAGCTCAAAAAGTTTTATACTATTTAAGTTTTCGTTTCATACTCAAACCTATTGAGCATTTTCTCACATGCCCCTGAATTCCCATTCAAGGCATGCAGATAATTGTAACTTTTTTCCGCTTTGTCACAAAAAGCGATTCCTTCGGTTATACAGTCTAAACTCCGAGGTCTTATAAAAGAACCAACGGTACTCTCGTATTGAACCTGTAAAAGCAACAAGCAGAACATCAAAGCTGACCACCATGTGGATTCAGCCAATGTGTGTCACGTCATTGGTTTATTTGGTCTGCCCAGGACGGGTTCTGTTGATCCAAAACTGGTCAGTTTTAGAGCACATTGTTCCGTCGTAAATCGATCTCTGGTCCTATTATCACTCGTGGGGCGGACAAGCTTACGTCATTATCAATCACCGTGCAATTTTCACGCATGGCTTTATCGAAGAAACCCATGCGAGTTTCAAGAAAGATCATTTTGTTCGGAAAAATTTTCGGATTGTCCACCAAGGAGTTTCATGAAACGTTTAACGCGATCTTTATGGCTGAAGCAAATGTGTACGGCTAGATTGGATAACTTTATTCAAGTAAAACCATTAGAGCGATGGTAGCCAAGTGGTTAGGGCATCAACTTGTGACCTGTGAGTCCCGAGGTCGAACCGCTCTACCGCCACTCGTCTTCCCAGGCAGCCTTTGTATGGCCGCGACCCTCCTTCCTGAATGTGGACCGTACATTTGTATATTCAATAAATGAAAAAGGAAGTAAAAATACTATTTATTTATTGTATTCTGTATGACTTAACAAGATTTAAGAGTTCACACAGGTGTGATCAGCACGTAAATAAAAATGTTGGAGGTATACAGAACACTTATCGCTTTGTTAAATTCTGTCTCAAAGCGTATTCTGGGCAAAACAGAGAAAAACACCTATCATAAAAGCAAAGACAGGACATTACACTGGGTCCAAGCAAGATTCCAGATAGGAGCAGACATCAATAAGTAAACGTGGAAATCATTGGAATAGGCAACCAGAGAACAGTGGTCAGTTAATAAATCATGATAAGAATAAAAAACATTGGCAATACTCTTATCGCCCACAAGATAGATCCAGTCAGTTGATTACTATTGATAATCCAGGCACAATTCGCAACCTTCCCACTTGTCACCTAGATATAGAAAATACGAAACGAATTCCCAGAATATGATAGTTAGAGCTCCGCCATCGAATTACCTTATTAGTGGTACCAGTGTAGGATTCGAACTTTCTATAAAGAAGCCCGACTGTTACCCTACTAGCAAATAATGGCCAGACGACCGGAGTATCATATGTAACCGGTGGACAGATCAATTAATTCAATATATTCGCATTGTTTTATTCATGTCGTTGTTGAACTCTGTTATTAATGACAACCGAAAGACGAACCAATCAATCCTCCGCAATATAGTATACTGGACCATTATCTTAGTTCATTAATTTCGCGAAGACCGGCGTTTCTCAACGATGGGCGTAGCCTGTGTGCCAAAACTGAGGTGAAAAAATGGGGACCAGAACCTGAGTGGAAAGCACTCCACTGCATGCCGTCCTCACGAACACGCCCAGGACGCAGTCGTTTCGAGTATAGAAAACACCACTAGCAATTAGTTCCCATCGAGAAAGACACAATTTTGTCGGTGTAGTGAAAATGTTGTGCATCGAGGGTAAGAACAGATCACTTCGGGACTATCCAGGTTCGGCGAAGTAACCCAACAGCAACAACAGATCTATCGAATTTCCAAAATATTGAAAAGCGATTAGAAAACTGAGTTTTTTACTGAGTTAGTCCATGACGCATCGCCATTGGGCATTGGGTAGAAGACCCCGAAAAACTACAAGTCCTTGTTCAAAATAAGTAGAGTACCTTTTCACAGATTGTAACGACAATATTCCTTTTTTATTTATTCTCTGAAATCAAAAATCCAATCGACAAGGTAGGCGGTCGAATGATTTTGTCCGAGATGAGGAGTATCTTTGGAAAACTTAAGACTGCATTTCATTTTTCCTCTTCTAAAAAATGTCTTTGTTCATTTGCTTGGTTTGTTTTGTCAGCACCGCCGGTTAATTATTTTATCCTTGTCTTATTTTTACATTGGTCTGAATCTAATTTATATATAGCGACTGACCGAGAACCGAACGTTTCGCTACCACCTTCGTTGTAAATTGACAGCATGTTTCACATTTGACCATGGTGCGATTTTGTAAACTACGTGGGTATGAGGATAATTGAGGAAATAACCAATTTGAGTGAATCATTTCCATTAAACTGATTTCAAGGACGTCTGAGTTTTCCATATTTTGGTCGGAAATATCCCGAAAACAGTGAAAACATAAAAAGTAGATCTTCTGTGTTGCTCACCGAAAATCATAGATGTCGACCGAAGAGAGAATGCAAATTAGTCTGATCAAGCTAGGGTACATAAAACTTCTCAACATGAGTGTTGATAAAATGTACGAAACTGGTCAACACATCGACCTTATCGTATATGTATTGATGGGCATTTCAAGGGAACAAACACTGCTTGGTAATGCATGGGGTATTCTTTAAAGCGAACGAACGAGAATCAAACGCGGATGGCGAAGAACAGATTCAGACTAAGTGAAGAATTTCCGTAAACGGCGTAACAACTGATTATAAGCAAACGGTCAGCGAATGGAGAAAAACAAACGTAGGCTTTATATGAAATACAATAAGCAAGCCCGAATTGCATTTCAAATAAAATTAAATATATATTTCAATTATTGCCATGTTCAAGATGCGCAACAACTGGCTTCAATATCTTCGCAATTTACACAAAAAATTGAAAGGTTCCTAGTCAAAGTGCTATACTTCTTCCCAAAGGTTAGAGCGGGTCGTTTTTGAGTAATGCCCTTCTCGAGCAATAAATGAATATTGGTTGATAACCTTACACTTATGTCCTTGAGGTGATTACAAATGTTAGTAAGAATAGTAAAACAAAAGCCTGAGAGTAGGTGTTCGTATTGCCAAGATAATGATATGAAAAAAGAGAAAACAAAACAGGTTAAGAACATGAGTAGACGAAAATAACTATAAGAGCTCCTAGTCGGATTCACGCCCTCAAATATATTCCTCAAGGGTTCCCTACCACCATGTTCAGTTCTATACTGACGATCTTTCAACCAATGCCTATCTCGGCAAAGTCACATGTCAAGGATCTCTATGCGGTGACACGGGTAACGCATACTCCAGGACTCGGGGATATGCGAAGGCTAAGTACTTGTGCAAAAGAACTAACGCGACTGACCTCAAATTGCTTGCTTGGTTGTCCCACCAGATCATTGCAACGCCACGTATGCCAACGCATAGGGATGTGCCGATCACAAAAGAAAATTTGAAAGTAGACATACGATACATGCCACCATAGTAATTCTTAACCATTTGGTAAAACGCACACTAAAAATACGACTTTTTGACACATTTGAGCTGATTTTGACGGTGTAAAAAGATAGTCCAATGGGGACTGCGATTACACATCAGAAAACCCGAGAATGAGCACCATAGAAACGTTTGGTTTTACCTATCTTTCTGGTCATTTCCGACAGACAGGTGGTCAGTGATGCTGTTCAAATCATGTGTAATGATCGACCTTACGAAAAGGCTAGAACTGTCAGATGTGAATGCACTTGTCGGGTACAGTCAGAACAGAATGCAAACCACAATATAATTGACTATATGAACTATATTCCCATGCGTGAAGCCCCTTTCAACATTAGTTCCAAGTTTACGAGACTTATAAATTTTTAAGCAATCATATTTGTGTAGAAAGCTCTTACCAGTTGCGCAGCGTTGTTAAACTAGACCCTGGGAGTTAGTGTTGAAGATTGTCTTCTCGTAATAGTGCCAGAGTTTTTATATCACTCACTCACTCATTTGCACACATATAGGCTGAGAAATGGTGCTATTGTCCAAAATCTGCGATTTCAAGTCAAACCGTATTGGTGTATTGGATAAGTACTGGTGGAGTTAACTGTACAGAACGCGTTGCATTTCACCCATATAGACAATATGAATAATTCATCATGTAGTTTCTTTAGCAGCTCGATCTGGACAGTAT